ATAATTTATTGATATTTTGATTTTATAAAAGTTTTCAATGTTAGTTTCAAAACCACCTATATTGCAAAGTGAATTTCAAAACCAGCCATGTATATAAAAATCGAAAAAAATTTGGCTTCAAAACCAGCCATATGATGAAGTTTGCATCAAAACCAGCTATATCGATACTATAAATGTACATAACTCTTGTAATAATATTTTTATAAGACACATATTTATACACAATATTGTATACATTCAAGGGTACACACCCCCCTCCTACCCAATATATTTACCTTAAGTATATAGTTAATGTATATTTAATAATTTTAATTTTTCAAAATGAAAAATGTATTTAAAAAAAAGTTGTTCCAAAAATGCACAGTGGTACCAATATAATATATAGTATATAATATCACATATAAGATAGTCACGGTGAACAAAATAGACCTGTTCGTAAAAAGTTTGTACCATATTAACTATTATTTAGTAATTCTATAATAATGTATTCTTAAAAATATTATTTCTTATCACGGTTTTTTTTTTTTACTATGTTATATAGTTTTACAGAAAGGGAAAACGAGGAGAACTCAAAAAAGTCGTCATTGAACCAAAGCAGTGGCGTGGTGAATGGGGTTTTATGACGCTTGGGCCTCATGGTGGATTTTTATTTTTAAGGGGTAGGGGGTTGGGTTGTTGGGTACATTATTGTAATCAATAACATACAACATAAATTAAAATATTTACAGTCACATAATAATTATATGTACTATATATTACTACTATAGGTAAATAGCTTATAAATTATTATTGCATCTATATTTTTGTTGATGTTTAGAATCTTAAAAGCACACCTAGATCAAAACTGTAACAACTCAAAAAATTAGTTTTTTTAGTTACACCTATACTCAGATTCTACATACGAAGTTACATAGACCAACAAAACAGGTTTATCAATATCTTTATTATTCTCCGAAAGATGGCGTTGTAAGTACATTTTGTTGAATGAACGACCATGAGGTCCTATCATCTAAACTATTGTTATCTTAGTTACTCTCCAGACAACGAGCAGAGTGTTTGTACGTTGTTTCCACAAAACTGTTTTAATTTGAATTGTAACATTCTTGTTGATATAATTTGTTTGCTTTTTATGTATTATTTTAAGTTAATACAGTATTGGTGACAATAATTGATTTAATCTTCGAATATTCATTGCTGTATTTTGAGTTGCGACAGTTTTAGTTATTCGGGTAAATAAAAATATTATGTTTATTTTGAATTTTATCAGTTTTGATGATAACATTGTAATACTATTAATTACATCAGTTTTGTTGAATAGATTTTTTATTCTCATTAATTCTTGTTCCTTAGAGAGTAATGCACTTCAAATTACGTGACTTAAAAATTTTTTAGAGTATAAATATATCTTTGAATACGTTTTAGTCAAAAAATTGGTAGTTCAGTTTGTAATTGATTATTTTTGAGTTGGTGCAGTATTGATGGTTATTGAGGGTACATAGATATTTTTATGTTTTAGAAAAATGAGCAATCGTACACGTTTGTTAGTCAGTCTGGCAAAAGAAAAATTTGAAAAAAATATCCGTCCTAATGTTATATCGCAATGTCATGAATTGCACCCAACTATATCAAGTCTAAATCAACAGACAGATCGCCCTATTTCAACAATTCTGAGTAATGTGATTATGACAATTCTGATAAGAGTCCTAAGTCCTAGCACTTCTAAAGTACTGATACCAGAAAATCCAGAAAAAAATCAACTGACTGATAACTTTATTTCACCAATACAAAGTAATGAAAGTGACCGATGATTCTGATAAGGATCCTAATTTTGAGTTGCCCGGTAATAAAAGAAAACTATCTAAGATTAAGGTTATTTCTTCATCTTCAACCAGCAGCAGCTCTAGCAAAGTGACAGCAACAATTCTGATTCTGATACTGATGATGAAAATGTATATATTTCTCAAAACCCTACCACTTCTGGAGTTCATGAACAAGAGCCTATCACAGAAGAGCAAAAAGGAAAGAAGCGAGTTAGAAAACCATTGATGTGGAAAGCAAAAGTTGCAAAAGTATTGCAAAATTCAGGCAAAGCCTACCACCTGTGTCTAAATCGAAGAAACAAGTTCCAGAGAGAAAACTTCGTTCACCCTGTGGAAGCAATTGTCGGAGAAGTGTAACAGCAATATCGATGAACCTGCAAGACACCAACTTTTTAATGCATACTGGGAACTAGCTGATCTTCAAAGGCAAAGAGAGTTTATAGTACGACATTCACAAGAAATTAAACCAAAATACAGATACTCCAGCACACAAAATTTGAGAGCTCTACTTACAGCGTTTTATTTTGAAATTAATGGGTCAAAAATCAGGGATTGTAAATCATTTTTCAAATCCACTCTTGACTTGAATGATAGAGTTATTAAAACTGCACTTAGTAAGAAAACAGAGTTAGGCAAGTTTGAGTTAGAACAGTTTTATGACGTCAAGGTTTTACAAGAATCGTGGGGCACCAATTTCAGTACAGATGAACATAGAAATCAAGTTAATTGGCATGACATCAAAATCATAAGGGTCGAAAAGGAGCATCCTGGAGCATTTTTTAATAAATCATCTTTCGAGGATGAAACTTTCAAAAAAACGTATGTGCGCAAGAGAAAAGCTGCAAATCAGGCTTTTATTTCGAATAATCTGACTGGTGCATACGCTGAAAAAATTCCATTGTCTGATGCAAAAAAGAAAGACATTCAAGAACTTATTAACAAAAATTGTATTCCAAGACAATATTATGAATCCTCTTTTAAAAATGTGTTAGGACATAACTAAATGTGTGTAATGTTCCTATTAATGTATGAAGAATGAACAAAATATTTAATATTTTTTTTTAATTTGACTATTTACAATTATGTAGGTAGAAATTTGTATTTACAAATAAATCTATATTATTTTTTTCAAATTGTAGAACTTAGCAAGTGCTTTAAAAGGAAAATGTTTAAACAAATGTTCATGATAAAAGTTTAAATTTTGTTTCGTTATTTTATTTTAAGTCAAAAATTAATTGAAAGACTATTGAACTATCGTTATTAAATTCTGTTAATGGTATTTGTTTTATTATTTTAAAAAGGGTAATTGATATAAGTTTAAGTTGTTTATAATGTTTTATTCTGATTGGCTGAAAGTAAAATGTAAGACTGTTTGGTATTATGTAATGCCTTTAATAATAGTTAGTTTATTTAAAAAATGTTATAACACGAAGTTGTTCTTGTTTATTTTGTATAATTTGATTAAGAACGAGTGTAAGACTGTTTCTGAACTTACCTAGACTGAATACAAGATAAAGTTTTAGTCTATTTGTTGAATTTTTTTTAAAAATTTTAAGTTTAAGTTTTGTACAAGAAGATTTTATACAAAATAAAAACTGTATTTCTATTAATCCATTGTTTTATCATTCAATCCATATGAAACTAAAATTAGTAACTACGCTTTATTTAAATCAATTGATATACTTTTTGAACGGATACAAGTGAATCAAGTCAAAAAATATAAACAAAACCGTTTTAAGTTGAAATAATGAAATAATAATAACTAAAACGTAATATGCAAAACTGTTGCAACTCAAAAAATTCCATTTCTTTTACGACAATATGTATGAATATGTTTTAATTATCAAACTGATTTTATTATGCGTTGCCTGATTATGAAAAAATTGTTTACTTAAATTAAATTATAAATGCTACACAAAAAAATATTTTTTGGCATTCCTGAAAAAAAAGTTTTTTTGAGTTGTTACAGTTTTGATCTAGGTGTGGCGAATTATGATAACGGGCTTGTAAACTATTTTCAAGACATAAGGGTTGGTCCTAGAATTTTTTTACTATTTTCCTCATTATTTATAGCCCTAATTCTACTTAGGTTTATTTTTGGAAATCTAAAAAGTCGTGCATGAAGAGGTTAAAGTTATCTAGTCTAGGTCATAAAAAAATACCTTGAATTTCCAAAATGTAATTTAAATATTTTTATGGATAGTTTGTTGCAGCTTCTGTACATTTTTGTTGCACCTAATTCGTGTGGATCACATCCTTTTACAAAACACCATTGATAGGTATAATATTCCATTATTATAGGAGTTGAATGATGTTACTGAACGAGCATAATAGTATTATGGAATAATTATAATAATTTTTCGTAGGTAGTGTCGTGAAATTAATTTCAAGCTAACTTAGAAGTAAATATAATAGGTATCCCAATAAAATCATTGAAACGGAACAACTTCCAAGACCTACTCAAAACTTTTTGGGATAATGTGAGTAGGAATGTTAAACTTATAGCATGCAAACCAGTAACAATGTAACAGTTCCGGATACTCTGCACGACGTCCAGCCATTGTCCTTGACCTGGATGTGGTCAGTGTACACAGCTCTGGCTTTCATGGCGAGACCGAAGTACTGCAATCGCCGTTACCAAATCGACAAGTTCTCGAAGCCGAAAGGAGAGGTAACCTAGCGTGAACAACGGATAAAATAAACAAAAGGCAAGCAGACAAGTGTTTTCCGGATACCCGAAATCGACATGGGCGTCGACGGACGATGAGAACGGTAAACAGTACAACAATAATATAATATTATAACACGTTGTACCTACCTATTCATCGTAATATTATTACCTGTCCATGTTATGCCGGCCGATGGCGTACCGAACGGAAAACGATCACCGTCGGCGTTTCGAGGCGACGAGACGAACACAGCGCGCACGCAGCAGAGCAGTTGTAGGTACCGACGAGGAAGAAGTGTGGAAAAAAATGGCCGACCGGTCCGCAGCGCACCGACGCTGTACAACGCTACGCAGTACACGTCCAATATTGGCAATTATTGTACGTCATCAGTCGGCATTCAGAGCCTGGCGTTGCGCGGAGGGGAGACGGCGGCGGCGGCGGCGACGGTTGTCGTTGTTGTATACGTGTCGCCGAGCCGATGGTGAAAGGGGACGTCGTTGCACCCGAACGGTCATAAGGTCCAATTTCCAGTGGTTCTCATTCTGCTGACTGACGTAACGTACGACACGTCAACACTAAGCACTATAAAAAAAAAATAATAATAACATTCGTATCGAGATGATTGTGGAAGAGCACAGCGATCGTCGTCGTGACGACCACTCGATCGACGTGTTTTGGGTTACATAATATAAAAAAAAATACTTACGTACACGGTTTTGTTATGTACGAACTACGAGGCAAAATATCGTTTATTTTTCAGTTAAATATAGTTAATACTTACAATACGGTCGATGTCGCAGAGAGAGGTGATAGTCGACCGTCGACGGACGATTAGCGACGTGATTATGCGCAATGCCGTCGACGACAAAAATGAGAAACGGCGAGTGGAAAAAACTGTGAAACTGACCGACGTGAGTCCCGCTCAGGCCAGAGCGAAAGACTAACGAACGGCGAGATGCGCCCGCTGCGGCAGGCAGGCCCGAGGTCGCCGCTGCCGCGATGCGACCGACCCGCTTCATAAAACCAGTGTGACCAACAGTCCTTACACTACTTACTGACTACGTGGAGAAATAATTATGGCCCATCGCGTCATGATAATAATCGCGATGGGCCATAATAATAACAATAATATGATAATATGATAATAATAATTAATAACAATAATAATTTAATAAGAGAGGCAAGCCGTACGCAAGCTAGTTAAATAAATTATTCACCTTAGGGCTTGGGTTCACTGAAACATTATAATTTAATATTCGTATCGATTCACAGCTCGGCTGCAAAGAACGACATTTATAAATTATATTGTTCGTGCGATGCTGCGATGTCTCTACGCACCCGGCAGATGTTTTGCTGGCGGTCGGCGGCAACAAAAAAAAAAAGGACAACAGAGAAACCGCAAAAATTAACACTTGCCGATCGACGACTGATGATACAAGCCGAGTGTGAGGAAACCATAGATATATACAACAACTAGATAGCCGTCATCATACTCCAGTTGTGACCAATATTGAAATCGGCCGCCATTTACAAAGCAGGCAATGCTTACATTTATTTATATACATATATATTTATCTATACATGTATACTATGATAATATTATTGAAGTTATACTTCTTTACGCAGGGTATAGTGAGGAAAAAAAAAGCGAAACCGTACATGTCCGTAAATAAATAAATATTGTCATGGTAGTGTTGTTGTAATATATATATATATATTATATATTATAATCGGGCCCCGTCAATATGACATAATAATAATATTACGTATTATAAAATATATAATGTTGGTCGGTCACAGCCACAGATATATATTTTAAATCTGTTGTGACAGCCGATGAGGTTTCGACGACGATGATAATAATGTAATAAGTATGTCGTTAATATTGTCGTTAATATTATATAAACGTTGCAAAATAAAAAAACAGATTCATCGATCTTGGCCCATACTAATTAATATGAATAATATTAATGATCGATTATTATTTATTTTTATTATTATTATTATTATTATTATTATTCACTCACAAATCTGGATAAAAACAATACTACAAACAATTATCCATCGATCTGTCGAATAAAAATATAAAAAAATAATAAAACTATCAATAATAAATAATTCCGGATACTTCTTCTCATTTTTTAAATTAATTAATATTTTTTTCTTTCTTTTTCACTCACTCACGTGTACTATTCAAAAGAAGTTTAACTTCCCTCGCGCGTACTGGTAACACACATATTATTTTGTAAACATTGCCTGCTTTGCAAATGGCGGCCGACTTCGACGACAAGAAGGAGACGGCTATCTAGTTGTTGTATATATCTATGGAGAAAACCGTAGTATTATACATGTATACTGTGGATCATCGATAGAACCATAGCCCATTATCCTCCATGTAAACAATTTTCAGCACATATTAGCGAAGAGACGCTGGTTGAGTCTGCGCATGGGCGAGTATACTCGCTACATATATGTACATCACTAACTACCTACATAATATATAAGTAACAGTATAACACTCATGAGTACCGCCAGGGGGAATGTAGTTATTAGCATAAATATGTAACGAGTATACAAACGCTAGTATAATATTATGATCTCGGAAGAAAACCCACCACTGATATTATGAAACATTTGTGTGAGAAATTCATGTTTACAAATATTAAATTAAAAATAAGACTAAAAATAATATTATAATATTATATAGGTAGTAGGTACCAATAGGTACCATACTACCATTACATTATTGACATAATGACATCAATAAATAGTTGATTGATTTAAATTACATCCATCGAAATATATAATCACATTGATATAACAACGTTTTAGATTCTGAGTGAAACGATGAATGTATTGATTTTACAATGATGTGTGTTTTTTTTTTTATTTTTTTTTTGTGTCTGTCATCACGTTTTAGGACAGTAAAAGTGCTTGGATTTTCTTCATCAGCAGCTTTTCTGATAGGAAAGTGAATATAGTTGGTACTTTGGGGGGTCAAAAGTAAAAATTCCGCAGTAGTTTTCACAAGCGCCGGGAAAAACAACATACAAATTAATGAAAAACGGGAATTTTTACGCAAAATTGGTTTTCCAAAAAATCGATTTCGGTTTTTGTGTAACTCTAAAACAAATGAACGTATATACATGGAATTTTCACTGGTTGTTTATATTTGCATTTTCTATACACGATAACATTTTCAAAATATTTTGATTTATTTTGAACTGTTTAGGGACATTTTCATTTTCCATTTTTTTTTAGTTTTTTTTCTAAAAATATCAATAAAATTTTATTTGTTGGTTGCGAAAGCTTGAAAATTTAATAAAAGGCTCCTAATATATTGTTTCAAAGGCAGATGAAAAATATTAAAAATCCTTAGTCACAATTTTTTTTTATAAGCATTTAAAGTTCAAAAATTGTAAAAATATGGAAAAATCACGAAAATTAGCGAATTATTTTGAGTTAAGAATTCGTAAAAATTTTTCTTTTTAACTCTAAGATTTGAAAATGTGATACAAGATTACTCATAAGTTTGTCTACCTTTATCAATAAAAAAATCTCTACCGGAATGTCAAATTAAATTTTTATGAGCGTTTGAAATTCAAATTTTTACAACATTGGATGTTCACTCGATTTCTCATGTAGCGATTTCCTTATTTTGTTGTAATTGAAAAACGAATAACTGTAGATACATGAAAATTTCACTGAATGTTTATATCAGCATTTCCTATACACCATACAATTTTGAAAATATTTCTCTTTTTGGGCTGTTTATGGACATTTACAGCTTTCAATTTTTTTTAGTTTTTTTTTCTATAAATATCAATAAAGTTTTATCTGTTGGGCCAAAAAGTGTAAAAATTTAATGCAAGGCTCCTGATATATTGTTACAATATCAGTTGAAAAATATTAAAAATACATAGGCACAGTTTTTTTTTATAAGCATTTAAAGATCAAATTTTGACAAAATTTATCAAAATCTCGAAAATTATCAATCATTGTAATTAATAAATTATATAATGTTCAGTTTTTATAGCTAAGGATTGCAAATTCAACACAAAGGTTCTCGTAAATAGTTCATACTGTAACCAAAAAATATAAAAAATATATGAACACAGTTATTTTTTACAGACATTTTAAATTCAAATTTGGACGAAATTACTTATTAAAAAACCTAGAATAACTATTTTAGTTATTTTGTTGTGATTGAATAATATTATTCGTGGGTACTTGAAACTTCTACTTGTATCACGGTTTTTGTTGATGTATAACGCGTTATAAGTACCTAATGGATATTGTGATATGATTAATTTGGAATTTATTATAGGTACCTATTAATAGTCAATTTTTTGTTTTATACCATAGATATGTATATAATATGTCTTATACATAGACCGACATACCGTCTCCGCTCAGAATCGTTTTTCTTATACAATGATATTATATCGTTGAATTCAAATTTAATATCATCCATTATACAGTGACCCACTTGTAACCTACTGTACAGCAGAGCGACACCCACTTGCCCACCTTTTTTTTTTATATTTTTGTGTCTGTCATCACGTTTTAGGACAGTAAAAGTGCTTGGATTTTCTTCATCAGCAGCTTTTCTGATAGGAAAGTGAATATAGTTGGTACTTTGGGGGGTCAAAAGTAAAAATTCCGCAGTAGTTTTCACAAGCGCCGGGAAAAACAACATAAAAATTAAGGAAAAACAGGAATTTTTACGCAAAATTGGTTTTCCAAAAAATCGATTTTGGTTATTGGTGTAACTCTAAAACAAATGAACGTATGGACATGAAATTTTCACTGGTTGTTTATATTTGCATTTTCTATACACGATAACATTTTCAAAATATTTTGATTTATTTTGAACTGTTTAGGCACATTTTCATTTTTCATTTTTTTTTAGTTTTTTTTCTAGAAATATCAATAAAATTTTATTTGTTGGTTGCGAAAGCTTGAAAATTTAATAGAAGGCTCCTAATATGTTGTTTCAAAGGCAGATGAAAAATATTAAAAATCCTTAGTCACGATTTTTTTTTATAAGCATTTAAAGTTAAAATTTATCAAAATCTCGAAAATTATCAATCGTTGGAATTAAAAAATTATAAAATGTTCAGTTTTTATAACTAAGAGTTGAAAATTTAAAACAAAGATTCTCTTCAATAATTCATACTGTAACCAAAAAATCTAAAAAATATATAAACACACTTATTTTTTACAGACATTTTAATTTCAAATTTAGACAAAATGTCATATTTAAACCAAGAATTACGATTTTAGTTATTTTGTTGTGATTGAATAATATTATTCGTGGGTACTTGAAACTTCTAAAGTGTACTATTATATATCTATGATAGTATCACGGTTTTTGTTGATGTATAACGCGTTATAAGTACCTAATGGACATTGTGATATAATTAATTTGGAATTTATTATAGGTACCTATTATAGGTCAATTTTTTGTTTAATACCATAGATATGTATATAATATGTCTTATACATAGACTGACATACCGTCACCGCTCAGAATCGTTTTTCTTATACAATGATATTATATCATTGAATTCAAATTTAATACCATCCATTATACAGTGACCCACTTGTAACCTACTGTACAGCAGAGCGACACCCACTTGCCCACCTTTTTTTTTTTAGTTTTTTTTCTAAAAATATCAATAAAATTTAATTTGTTGGTTAAAAATACTTTAAAATTTAATACAAGGCTCCTACTATATTGTTACAATGGCATTTGAAAAATATTAAAAATCCTTAATCACAGTTTTTTTTTTATAAGCATTTAAAATTCAAAAATTGACAAAATATGGAAAAATCACGAAAATTAGCAAATTATTTTGAGTTAAGAATTCGTAAAAATTTTTCTTTTTAAATCTAAGATTTTAAAATGTAATAGAAGATTCCTTATAAGGTTATCTACATTTATTAAAAAAAAAATGTCTATAAGAAAGTCAAATTACATTTTTATGAGCGTTTGAAATTCAAATTTTTACAACAT